GAGCAACATTGAAATAGGATACTGGGATTCCAAAGAGGAGAATCCACATACAGACTGTATTCTAACAAGTTTATGTCGATGAAAGCTGTGTATAGCTCAGCCTGTTATGTGACATATGGATATACATGACAAGGTAGAAACCTTCCCTGAAGAATAAGTTAATGGCCTCTGGATACCAAACCGGCTCAGCATCCTGTTGAGTGAAGGGAATATTTAAGTGGGAACAAGAGATGTCATTTAAACAAATCTGAGTTTGGAGTGGCAGGGTGCAGTTTCAAGTCCCACGTATGCCGATGGCCTGCCTATACATGTTGTATTGATAACATGCATGACTTCATGTCTGCCTTTTTGATACAGCATTCCAGCATGTTGTTTCCTCAGGAGAAATGGCAGAACCTAGTTGGAAGGCTGGGCAAGAACCGATAAGTGGAATGTGGAAAGATATTAGTAAAAAGAAGAACGAGGAAGAGCTATAGTCTGAAGTATACAGGGCCTGATTTAGTGAGGTACTGGGTGCCCTTAACTTTCATTGAACACCATAAGAATTAGTTCCTCACATAATTCTAGCTATCTGAAAAGTACTCTTCAGATCTGTTTTTCTCTCTGTTTTGTATAGCAGACCTCAATTCCCTACTGATTATTCCCCAAGAGGTGCTCAAGTTGCACTCCCTGTTATTTACTAACAGTTGTTTTAATGAAGGACTGAATTAACACAGGTACTGGCCAGAGGACTACACCACAGCCAGCTAGTAGCTACTTTATTATTTTTTGCCACAACTTTTTATTTAAAATAAGTCAGAAGACAGCATGGCCTAAGAAAGGAGAAATATGGTAACCCTGGATATAAACAGCATGCTTTAGGAGGACTCTTGTGTCAGAATGAATCTGCTAGAATCTTTGTTTAGTTTGACCTTCTACTAAAAAAAGGATAATGGATCTCCTTGAAGTAGTGTGGGATTATTTAAAAATGGGACAGCTGTAACCTGGAGACTGAGAATGGTGCAGCTGAGCAATGGAAAGCAAAGGACTCTAGCACTATAAGCACAGTGAGAGAACAACAGAAAAGTTAATGATCAATTGGCATAAAATAACTTTTTCAGAAAATATCAAATCATTTAAATATAGTTAATCAGGAAGATGAGAGGAATGCCAAATGGCAGGGGAAGATTGTAATGAGGCTTGGGGTAAAGGGATCTTGAAGTAGCATATGTATGTTTTTAATTGGCAAGAAACAAAACAGAAATTTTGGATGTTTAATGCTAAGCCCAGTAACAGTGCAGGACAACAAGAATGGACTGCCTCTTTTCAGCTGTCAAGTCTGCAATATGTTTTAGAGCCATCTCAGCCGGGCATTTCTTTGCTATCAACAGGTTGTCCTGACAGTAACACGCATGAGCAAAGTGCTAGCTTTTGTTGTATGGACAAGGCCACATTTCTTGAGCAGGGCTTTTCTGCATTCTGTTGTGATTTCCTCCATATTTAGTGCAGAAAAAGCTATTGTCATCTGTTTCCCTCTGTCTGCTTTTATGTCTTGCTGTGGGTCTTAATCAGATGTACTGTAATACTTTCACTGCTTGCTAAGACATGGATTTAGAAAGCCCCACTTTCACCAGCCTTTAAAATATCTACTCTTCTGATTGAAGTCTAGGGAACTTCTTTCAGTAACCTCATTCTGATTCCAATATATAGTTAAAGAACATGTAATACTTTAAATTGATTTGTTAACTGTTCAGATTCACAGGCGTTAATATTACTTAGGTAGGTCTAAGACAAAATAGCCAGTGGTTCGTATCTGACCACTAGTTTCTTGGGAGGGAGGGAAAAAAGTGTTGATCTCAGAAAACATTCTTGCCTGTATCCAAATACCCCTGCTCTTCTGAATAGCTTTATCTAGCAGTTTGCTGCCTTTGACATGCTTCTCCTGGAATGTACTGTTAGCTCTCCAGTGCTCCTAACCTGCCATGTACAACAATGCAGAGGAATTCACTATCGTTGATTTCTCTCCAGTGCCACTTGCTTTTAAGCAAGTTTGAAAGTGCTGTAATCAACGTATTTACTTTCCATCAGAGTTCCTTCCTGCCTGAGGGATTCAGGTGACTGCATTCACTCCACTTTTTCCCCAAAGATTAAATTGTCTTTTGACATCATGTCAGAAAAGTATTGCTGCACAGGTTCAAAAAGGATGAAAGGTTGGCTTATGCTGAAGGAAAAAAAATCCCTAATATGAGGGAAAAGGTAAACAATAAGTGGGGGGGAAATAAGCCACATAAAAGGACACCATAACTCTTTTAATATTTGAATACTTTTTTTTTATTCCGCTACTGTAAATTGTGCTTGTAAACTTTAAACATAAATGTTTATTTAATGAACAAAATACATTTTGCTTCTCTCTCTATGAATTATTTTGAATTGAATTCTGAATTTGAATTTTTGTAATATAATAAAAGTTTCCCAGAAAAAAAAACTTTTAACACAATCTATATATTAGCAGTGTTTCATTTTAATCATGGAAAAACGTAGATTTTGGGTTACTTTTTTTTTTAATATGAAAATTGGGGATTTTTTTTTTAAATCAGAGAAAACCAGGATCCCTGGTGATTGCTCAGATTTTGCAAAGAGAAGGGCAAGAAAAGAAAGGGGTTTTTTTGTTAACTGTATATTTTCTGTCTGGTTTGTGCACAGACATACAAAGCATACATACATAGATTCTAAAATGAAAGGAAAGCTGGTCATATGGGATTAGTTTGCAAATCTCTCCTGTAATATTGTATTGCCTGTTGCAACAAATGAATGTACGCACAGGGAGTTAATAATTTGGCAAGGAGTTTTTTTTCACAGATGTAGCTTCTGCGGATTTTGCATTAGAAATGAATGCAGGGAGTGAGCGCCAGAGGAGCCAGTGATGAGAGCTATCAACATTCAAGGTTATATTTTCTGGGTGGTCCTTTTTTTTTTTTTTTTTTTAAACTCCATGCCCTATCTCTCTTCTATGATCAGTATTGCAAAAGTTCAATTTGGGAAGAAAGCGGGTATAGAAGGGCACATCCATGAAAACTTTTAACACCAAAGCCAAAAACGTTGCCTATGGGTGCAAGCAACTTCAAGTTGGTGGCGTTGTACCTGCTCACTCTAGTGAATGGGTCTATTGACGTCGCATTTTGAGACCTGAAAGGATGTTTTGTTTTGTTTTTAAAGATAGGATGAGATCTGAAAGGCTATTTTTGAGACCTAAAGGATGTTTTCTTTAGGCAGCCCCACAGGCCTGATGCTTTTGTTCACAGACACAGCCGTACTCATGCACATCAGGGCTGGCAGGGTCAAAGTAGCTTTCAGAGCAAATGCAAAAATCATCAAGAACTCTTGGTTGCAAAACGATACCTTTTATTAGACCAATTCTCAGCCGGTCTAATAAAAGGTGTCACTTTGCAGCCAAGAGTTGCAATAAAAGGTGTCACTTTGCAACCCAGAGTTGCAATAAAGAGTTGCAATAAAAAGGTATCATTTTCAACCCAGAGTTGCAATAAAAAGTGTCATTTTGCAACCAAAAGTTGGTTGCAAATTCTCAGTCAGTTTAATAAAAGGTATCATTTTGCAACCAAGGCCTCTCGATGTTTGCATTTCTTTTTTGTCTCAGCCCAGCCCAGCCCGGCCCGGCTACCACACTTCCCCCTTCCCAAGAAGCTGGAGGGAGGGAGGGGCAGGCACGCCGCATGTTTTTCCCCCTTGTTTTTCTCTCTCTTTAGCCAGGGAGAGAGGAAACAACCCCCAGGACGGCGGGGAGGAACCTCTCGGGGGAGAGGGACAGATCTCCTCATACCTGCCTCCCCCGCGCTCTCCTCAGGTGTTCCTCAGGGGCAGGCGGGCGGGCGGACAGTTCCCTGCGGGCCCC